CCAACACTCCATAATTGGTGTTTGCATTGCATACACGGTCTGTTGCAGCTAACCGAGTTCACACGGGTCTGCAGAGGTGTCCTGTGCTCCTGCTCCCAACCCTCCACAAGGCCAGCATGTTTGCTCTGTGTCACTGTCATGGCCACCTCGGGACTGCTTCCATGTATAAGCCAGTGGGAAGCTGCATGGGAACTGGTCTATCCTTAGCATCTGGACCCATCTTTTATGAAAAGGCTGTTCTCCACGCATGATGGAAGACAGTGAATAACTCCATCACCTGAGCATTCTCTCCTTTTCATCAAGGCAACTCCTGAGATTCAGGGCACAGGGAGGACAGCAGCCTATGTCTTAGTTAGGGTTCTACTGCTGTGAGCAGACACCATGACCGAGACAACTCTTATTTAACTCAATATGTAATTGGGGCTGGCTTACAGGTTCGGAGGTTCAGTCCACTATCACCAAGGCGGGAGCATGGCAGCATCCAGGCAGGCATGGTGTAAGAGGAGCTGAGAGTTCTACATCCTCATCTGAATGCTGCTAGAAGAAGATTGGCTTCCAGGGAGCTAAGCGGAGGGTCTTAAAGCCCACGCCCACAGTGACACACCTACTCCAACATGGCCACACCTACTCTAACAAGGCCACACCCACTTCAACAAGGTCACGCCTCCTCCAACAAGGCCACACCTCCTCCAACAGGGCCACACTTACTCCAACAAGGCCACACCCACTTTAGCAAGGCTACACCACCTAATAATGCCATACTCTGGGCCAAGCATATTCTAACCATCACAGTCTATATCTTTGAGATGAGGACCGGCAACTGCGCCTGTTTCCCTCCTCCTTCTGCTGGCTCCTGTTCACCTCTTTTTAATTCCAAGAGTAAAGCCTGCTTCAGGGTTTCCCTGCCTGGCGTAGAATTCTCTTCCTGGAACCTGTTGCATTCCTCCAGGGCCAGCCCTGCTCAGCAAGACTTTGCCCATCAGGCCTGGCGAAGGTCATACACAGCCACCTGTCAGATTCTATAGTGGGTCCATCCTTCCACTAAAGCACACAGCTGACAGCCGAGACCCTGTGGATCTCTTGCTGGGGTGCAGGAAGTGGTGCCCAGCAGAGGAACATTGTTCCCGGGGCACTGCTCTTATTCCTCCCCAGCTGTACATCAAAAACCCAAATTACCAATCAGAGGCAACTGAGTTATGGTGAGGCCTGAGGGGCTGAGCCCCCAAATGAGATGACAGCCCTTGGAAAGTGAGGGCACCAGACCACATTATTTTTTGCAGCCACACGAGAGAGTGGACATTTGCAAACCAGGAAGACAGTTCTTACCAGACAAACTCTGCTGGCTTTATGAACTTGGACTACCAGCCACCAGAACTGTGATTAATGAACTAGGGTTTCCAGTCATAGAATCTAAGGGTTTTTTGTTACCGTGGCTTGAACAGAGCGAGTCATATCAGAACTCAGCACACAGGAAGCCTCCCTCATGTGATCTTTCCAATCTGTCATCTTTCGTTGTCATTAACTGTGAACTCTGATTCCTGGCGGTGGATTCAAAGCCATGCAGTGTGGGGGGTCTGGGAAGAAAAGCTGTCTACACCGTGCAGTACTGAGATCTCCCTCTCTTAAACAGTGGGGAGCAGGCAAGTAAGGCTGCTTGCTGGCCCTCCTCTCCAACTTTGACCTGAATTGCTTTAGTATTTACGTGAACATCTGCTTTGGGAGGCTACTTTCTTGGTACCTGTTCTCAGAAGAAGTTTGTTCTTAGGAGAACAGGAAACCGTTGCCTGTGTGTGAACATATGCTAGTTTCTTTTTACAGGAGTTACGGAATCCTATAACCACTCTTCCAGGTTGGTCCCATCAGTCTCCGTTCTATTTATGCCCCACAGATGGCAGAACGGAGTCCCAGACAAGTCTCAGAAGGTCAAGTGTACCTAACCACTGAGCTTTTGGGCTGAGGTAGCTCTGATTTTCAAACCATTTTCCTGAACCCTGCTAATCTGCTTCTCAAATTCAGTCCAACTGCTCACCAGAGTAGCCTTGCTGCGGCCCTCGTTTTGCAATTGCCTCTATAATGGAGTCCAAACACGAGCTACGGTCTGAGTTGTATTAACATCTTCCGGGAGGGCGGCTTCTGCCAGCTTCTCATCTCTTCGTCCCTCCTTTTCATTGTGTGCCAACAGCCGGCAGTAATCTCTCCCTGAGAAATAAGGACCAAGTACCTCCAGCGGGAGGGGAGTGAAGCCACGTGCTCAGGCCACCAGGCTGAGGACCATCCTAGCTTTCAACAGGACATACACGTGTCTGCCTCCTTCCTGCCCTTAGTCACCAGCTGCAGCTTTGAGCGCCCCTAGTGGAGGTATGCAGTATGGGCCTGCTATGCAACCATCAACCAGGACACAGGAAAGAGCCTTTGAACTGCGCTTTTAGGAGCGGACTCCTAACCCAAAGTCATAAACCAAATTGTTCAGGAAGCATCCTTTTTTCCCCCTTGGAAGAGGAAAGAAAGGAAGTCGGTATTATTCCCTAATGCCCAGTAGAACTGTGTGGATAAAAGAAGAATCTTTCAAGTTTGCGTCGGGTAGTCCCTGGTGGGGGGCAGCCAAAACTCCTTGAGAAAGAACCGGCAAATTCATAGAAAAGCACAGTTAAGGCCGACGTAACAACGATACATCTCACTACATGTCAGAGGCTAGAGAGGCAACAAATTAGAGTCTTACTGAGAGATACTGGATTTGCTTTGCTAATTCAGGGGGAAAAGAAAAGAAACGTCAGGCTCTGCAGTCTTAGCGTGTGCATGCATCACCCTCACATGCACGTCTTAGGCAATAGGGGTCCTCTTAAAAAAACACGCTACGCTTTATTCCCAGCAAAACGGCCCAGAGAATGCACACCCTGCACAGGAATATTGCAACAAGTTCCCACCCCCTCACATAGCACTCAGGAAGACAAGTCTGCAACACTGGGCTCCTCCGATGCCTCTCCTCTCCGGTTTGTGGATATGAGCTGCCGGTTAAAAATAGAATTTATTGCGGAAGATCAATTGTTTCCAAATGGACCACGAGAACTGGCAGTGCCCATGGGCCACCCTGGCTCCCTTTTTATGAGTCAGTCGGAAACCCCGTGGTTAGTAACGAGCCTTCGGATGAAGTCTATCGGTGGACTTTAATTTGGCAGAGACCTGAAGTTAATTAAAAATATATGCTCACTAGCCGTGGTGTGGAGCAGTTGCAAGATATAAAATGTCTAAAAATTGAAATCACAAATGCATACATCCCGCTTTCCCTCCTACACTCTGGCACACGCTGAGGAATCAGGATATAGGATCCTGATCTTGGGTGACATTTCTCTACATGCTGTTAAGACCCCACCCCCCATTCCGGGGGTGGTGTCTTCAAGAATGTCAAACTCAGAGGTAGGGCCACTTTAGAAACGATGGTGAGTCTCTGGGCATCTTTGAGTTCTGCTTGTGGAGTGTGTGTGTGCATGCGCACACAGATTTAAGAGCTGGGGTAGAGCAATCTGGATCCTGTTCAAGGCCACCACGCTATTGTTGGAAAGAGACAGCTAATTAAGAAAGGGCATGCTGGGTAGAAACCATTGATTTAAATCAAATCTCTTTTTTCCCGTCTTTCTTAGGAAACTGCCCAGACCTGGTGTAAATTGGAAATACCACTGTCTTACCGGGGGGAGGGGGGGTTGTTCTTAATGACACGTTTTGTTAAATAAAGGAGGCAAATCATGCCCCTTGCTCTTATTTCTGGGTCCAACGGATTGGGGCTATAATCCCTGATGTATGCTGAGGAGGGCATTCCAGGCCACAAAGAAGAGATGCGACCCAGAACTAGGGCCAGAAGCTGAGAGCTGTCCGGGGCCTCTGGTGCTGAACTCAGGGGCCCAGAATTCCCCGCGGCGAAGCGGCAAGGCTTCTCTGTCCCCAGATCAAGAAGACCTCAATGAAATGAAACTCCAGATAGAAGGGGTGCAGGGGAATGGGGTGAGCGCCCCATGCTGTGGCCAGCTCAGACAGACTCTCAGCTTTGTTTTGTAAGTTACCACGGGAGGAAACAAGAGTTACACCTTGACAAGAGAGAGGGAGGTTAAATGGTCCAACCCCAATAGCTGACACAGTGGGCTCTCCTGGTGTCTTTAGCTCACCCCTACAGCTCTGGGGGTGGCGCTGGGGGTGGGGTCAGCTTTGGGTGAGTTGTTTATCTCCCTCCTCTGGCCACCTCGGCATCTCACTATAACTTCCTGGGACCCCAGCAGGATGGAGCGAAGGTGTGCGACTCCAGGTAGATGAAGGAACCGACAATCTCCACAAACTCAGACCCCCTTCCTAAGCGGCAAGCACGTGGGTTTCACTAGCACCCTCTCTTCATTCTTAATGTCGACGAGGATGCAGAGGGGAGAAAAGGGGCCCAGCCCCTGAGGTTCTAACATCTCTCTTCTCAAGTTCTGGGAGCCCTGAGCCCCCCTTCGTCCAAGGAAGCCACACCCAAGTCCAATTTTCTGACACCTGGCTGGGACCTATCCAGGAGACAGCCCCTCCGGATAGTCCGAGACAGCGTGGGATGGTGGGATGGGAGGGAATCTGGTTCTGGAGACAGACAGTCAGCTGCCCGTTTTATATACCTATCCTCTTCCACAGAGACTGGCAGAATAACCTGGCAGCCAGCCCCGGGTGCAGTTGCAGAGAGCTTCCAGAATCTGGAGGTTCGGAAAGGACCTCACTCCCAGGAGCTTCTCCGGGAAGCTTCTCCAGACAGCAAGAGGGAGTCTGTCCCCAATCCAGAGACAGAGGAAGGACCCACAGCCCAAGGCGGGAGTCCTTCAGATGCGTCTCCGCCTCCGCGCTCTGGCAGGGACGAGGTGCCCAGCCCGGAATCCGGGTGGCCCCGCGGGTGGCGCGTATGTTCCCGGACCAGCCGAGACCCTCGACCGCTCGGATCAGGCGCAACAACTTTACCCTCTTTGGGTTGGGGCCCTCGGGGTGCTTACCTTCCGCCTGAACTGCCGCGGGGCTCCCCAGGAGGAAGGCGACCAGGAGCAGAGAAATCCTGTGGGGTCCCACGGCTTGTGGCCGTGCTACCGGCATCGTAGCTAAGGAGCCGGGATCGGCGCAGAGAGAACCCTGTGGCCGGTCCAGGCAGAGGGATCCGTGCGGTAGGGTCCAGGCAGAAGGATTCAGGCAGCCGGAATCAGGCAGTGCGGTCCAGGGAGAGGGAGAGATCTGGACAGAAGGCTCCAAGCAGCCGGATCCCAGAGCAAGGTCCAGACAGACGGATTGATGCAGCGGGATTCAGGGAGAGAGATCCAGGCAGAGGGCTCTGAGCAGAGGGATCCGGGCAGTAGGGTCGGGACTCTTGGCGAACGCGCAGCCCGCCGTGGCTCTGGCCGAGCTGCACCGGGCGCGGGCGACGGACGAGTGAGGAGGAGCCGCGGGCGGCGAGCGAACGGAGGGCGGGGGCTGGTGCCCGAGCGAGCGAGCGAGCGAGCAGGAGAGAGAGCGAGCGAACGAGCGAGCGAAGGAAGTGAGCGCGAGGAGGCGGCCAAGGGCCGTTCCGGGGGCAGCCTGGCACTCCGGCCCTGAGAAGTTGGTGATGTCGCCGCGTCCCGGGTGGGCCCAGTGTCCCCACTCTCTTTGAGGACGCTGGGACAGTCAGACGAGGCGGTAGAGCGCCCGATGTGTCCTTGCAAACCCAGTCGGCCAGCAGCCTAGCCTGTATCCCCACTGCACAGCCCTCTCTGGCCCCTGAGAGTCCCTCCTACCTCCACCCTTCCCTACCCTCCCCCACCCTCCCCTATCCGCCAAAAGCCTTGGTGCTTCCACAGAGAGTTCCAGTGACTTAGGAAGCCACACCGACTGCATCCAGGGACCTCACTGGACCAATACACAGGACCAGGGAATCCTCTGTTTGATACCAAGTGGTTCTTCACCCTGGAAACACCCAGCCACAGACTCTTAGGTGAAGACCCACCACCCATGTTATTATGATTCTAGCTCCCGCCTGCTACATCAGCACTCTCAACAGGCCCTGCAGAGACACCAGGCTTCCTGAGCCCAAGCCCCGGTTCCCCTCCCCCTCTCCCTCCCTCTCCCCCCAATGGAAGCTTTGGGTCCAGGCCCATCCTCTGGCCAGCTCTGGCCAGTTCAGATTCTCCAGCAACGCGTCTTTCTTCCATAAACAGAGGAGATGGGGCACAGTGGGTGAGGAAGACAAGCGGCCACTTATAGCCAGGCACTGGCCAAGGGCCAGGTGGGAGATGCCTCACACCAAGGGAGACAGACTGCTCCCCTTGTTCTGCGGAGTTTCACAGGCCCAGCTGGCTTCCCAGGCCCCTCACCCCAAGTTAGAAACCCTCCCCTCCCCCACCCCACCTTGGCACTCCGCTCCAGCAAGGAGCAGATGGAGAGAAGGTTGTAGCAATTGGGGGGGGGGGGGGGAATGTTTTTAGCAGGGGGGGGGGGCGGGGGGGCCCCAAAAAAAAAAAGGGGGGGGGGGGGTAGGGGGGGGAGAGGAGCATGGGGGGGAGGGGAGCATTGGAGGCAGGAGGAGAGCAGGGAGGAGGGACTCTTCTGCTCCTGTTTCCAGATGCCCCTCTCACTCACTCTTGGAATGCTCTTTGCCTGAAGTTCAGGTTACCAGGCTTAAGATGACCTTGTCTTTTCCATGCTCACCTGGGCTGAAGGAAGCTTCCTCTCTCCTTCAGCCAATAAAGTCTCAGAAGGGGGGGTGGGGTTAAAGGAGGCATGCAGAAGGCCTGGTTCCTCCTCTGGGGGAATGTCCTGCCTTGGAGCATGAGGGTGACCATTGTAAAAAGCAGCTTGGCCCATCCCCTCACTTTCAGACCCTACATAGGACTAGCAGCAGGCCAGGACATTCAGTAACCCCCGAGGAACAGAAGCCTAAAGCAGGGATACAGAAACACCGAAGGGAGTAAGGGTATAGGAGACACACGTGCTGGCTTCCTCCTTAGAGACCAGGGTAGGAAGGTTTGTAAGCACCCATGGCTCCCCAGACTCTGGTGTGGTCTCTGTTTCAATTTCATAATGATCGGCAGTGATTGCAGTGATCAATGTCTCCCTTGGACCCCACCCCATCCCAGGAAGGTCAACCTCACCAAAGCCACTCAGACAAGAAGAGATAAGATAGATGAATTCAAGGCCAGGCCTGAGTTGAAAATCAAACTCCTGTCCCCAGACATGATCCTTTCCCGCAACCAAGATGGCTGCCTCTGGTGGCTCCCCCTGGCTGTTTCCTGCCTCCCCACTCCCAGCAGGCCACTAGAACTCTGTCACTACAGTCATCGCTTAGAAAGGGTGGCAAGACAAGACAGTGCCTTAGATTATCAACCCAGTAAGTGCACAGCAGGTGTTAACTAGTTCCATTTGTGCTTAAACTGTAAAGGAAGGAAACTCAGTAATCTGAAGACACAGTGTTGAGAGCATTGGCAGATGAATGTCGTCAGAAAGAAGGGCTAGCCGGGGTCAGAGCTGGGACAAAAGTCACTTGTGGGGGAAGATCTTCCCCATTACCAGACCCATTTTAAAGAAGAGCAAACTGAGGTGTGGGGAGGCAAAGTGACGTGCTCAATTCCATGCACGGCCCGGCTCTGCCCAGGTTTGTGCTCTGTCTACTGCCAGATTATGCCTGATCATGGCGTGTGGTCAGTGTGGACTTCCTGTGCCCACTGCCAGTTGGGTAGAGAAGCCCAGGTTCTGTTCTTGCAATTGGAGTGATCCTGTAGGTGTGTCCTCCTTACCTGCTGCTGTGTGAGCGATCACCTTTGTGAAGTTAAAAATCAGCCATTGAGGGCAAAGGCTGGACCCTGGCCTCCATCTTTGCAGAAGGCCAGAACAAGTGACTTGTGTTCTCTGCGTTCTAGTTTCCTTTTCCAGAGGGGTAGGAATAAAAATAATGCCTGCCATGTAGGGTAACTGATGATGAGCAACAGCATCCTCGAGGTGTGTCAGGAGGCACTGAGCATGCTTCCAGGGTGAGGGGAGGACCTCAGGGGTAGGTCAACTCAAAGCTTCATCTGGGGTTTGGCCTCAGTCTGAGCAATTGTTATCAATGCTACTATGTTAACCTACTGCAGTGTCAATCGCAGGTGCTTGTGATCACAACAGGGAGCAGACAGGAGGCCGGAGCTTCTGACACCTTCTATGCCTTTCTGAATGTCTTTCTGTGAGTTACTAGCCTTTCTGGAGTTGGTCTCTTGATTTATCCACCCATTCACCCATCTATCCATCCACCCATCTTCCACCCACCTGTTCATCCATCCACCTACCCATCCACCCATCCAGTCATCCATCCATCCATCCATCCATCCATCCATCCATCCATCCATCCATCTGTCCATCCATCCATCCATCCAGTCATCCATCCATCCATCCGTCCATCCATCCATCCATCCATCCATCCATCCATCCATCCATCCATCCATTCATCCATCCATCTGTCCATCCATCCACCTACCCATCCACCCATCCAGTCATCCACCCATCCACCTATCCATCCACCCATGCACTCATCCATCCTTCCATCTGTCTGTCTGTCCATCTGCCCATCCATCCATCCATCCATCCATCCATCCACCCACTCATCAATGTCTCCAGCCATCCGTCTCTCCATTCCTCCCTTCTAACCACCCATTTACCATGTACCTCCTTTCCATCTAGCTGTCTACTGAGTCTCTTCACAGTATGAAGGTGCATCATGTGCCTTCCAGTCCAAACACCGTAATCTACCCACTAGCCTCTCCTTCCTCCCTTCCCCTCCCCTCTGCCCCATCCTTTCTTCTTTCTGCTCTCCATCCATCCACTTACCCTTCTATCCATCTGTCCGTCCATTTTCTTTGCACTCCATGGATGTTTCTTAGATGTCAAACTCAGTGTGAGGGGCCATGAACACAGTGGATATCATCTCTTGCTTTCTAAGGCTCTCTAGTGATGTCTGCCAACCCCAAGGCCCATCTCCTTTCTGGTTGACCAATGCTCTGTACCAGTGAATCAGTTTTACAGAGTGTCTGGAAGTCTGTGCTTCGGAATGTTACAGCCTGAAATTTGAATGTGTTCCTACTAATGACTGTGTGTCCTTCAACAAGGCCATCAAGGTCCATGCTTCTTCACATGCTGTTCAGACCAAGCATCGTGCCCCTCTGTGGGGAGCGTCTGTGTACCGACAGACTTTATCACTGGACACTGGAGAAGAAAATGTCTGCTGTCTTGAAGAGAGAGGAACCAATATGAAAGAAGACATTGCCTGGCAGTAGTAGTGCACGCCTTTAATCCCAGCACTTGGGAGGCAGAGGCAGGCAGATTTCTGAGTTCGAGACCAGCCTGGTCTACAGAGTGAGTTCCAGGACAGCCAGGGCTATACAGAGAAACCTTGTCTCAAAAAACAAACAAACAAAAAACAAACAAAAAAGAAGACATCACTAACAAGAGGGTTTTAATTTTAAAATGCTGGTAGGAGGTATCCCAGGAGATATCCCCACCCCCACCTTGTATCTTTGGAGTGAAGATAGAGCCTCCAGAATCTTATCAGATCTTCATCACAGAGCATAGCTTCTGTAGCCCCTAGTAGGAAGCCTGGGCCCACAGCATACTCCAACTGGAAGCTGGCACGGACATAGTCAAGTATGAAGTGAGGTAGCCTGTCCCACCCAGGCACCCATATCACCTGCACGGGACAATCTGTCCCTTTGGCTCTGTCCCTTGGCGATGTGCTGCTGTCTCTTAAGAAATGCCTGAGCTAGAATACAGGGCCTTTCCTTTCCAACTGAAAGTTGACATAACAAGAAGCCATCCTGCCGACTGATCTGCATTCTCCTGAGACCAGAGAGGACGGGAAGCTTCCGCACAGCCAAGAGCATGAAGAAAGCTCAAAGATGGGAGACAGGAACATCCATGTAACAACCGAGATCTACAAGCCCAGGGGGAGACTCTCTTCATGAAGGGTTATGTGCCCCGGTCTCAAAAGGGAGCAAAAACATTAATGACTCAGTATTTATGTAGTCTGATGTTACAAACCATAACACACACATTTTCCAAGCCTCTAAGAATAGCTTTTGTCTGCATGGGTGTGCTGGTGGGTTATCCTAAGCCTGTGAGGCTGAGGACCTGTGCGTGACTGTGTCGGACACACTTAGATTTGATCCAGAACTGCATTCTGGGATGCAGCCTGTGAGGCTCAGTTTCTCCATCTTCAGACACCATCAGTGACCAGACTGTTACTGTCAGGGGAAGGCAGGTCACTCCAGGAAGCTGAGCACCAAGCCTGACTTAGCAGGGCTCTCAGCAGGTATGAATGCTGTCCTTTCCGGAG